AGCGTGCTCACAGGCAGACCCGAGCCAAAGGAAATAACACTAGTGTTAATTCAGGTTGCGTGGAAGTAAATGAAAATGCTAGCATTCATGCAGCTTGTTGGAATGGTGGATCCTTTTGATTTAAATCAAAGTATTCTATAAAGAAGATAATTTTACTGAGAAAGCTGTTGTGGGGTTCATGAAGCTATGTAATATATTTTTTATTCATCAAGCCTCATCTCCTTGCCAAATGCTTACTAGATATACTAAGAAACAGATTTTTTTCTTAAAGGTAGTTTCAACAAATAGGATTTGCTGAAAGTAAAAATCACTGACCTACTAGTAAAGGAAAAAAAATTCTACATACATCACGTTTCTAAAATCTGCCCACCTCTGTTCTCAAATACACAAATCAAATATACCCCATCATGAAAGAAAAAACTTCCAGTTGTCTTGGATTATCACTAAATATTTCCTAAAATCATTTAGAATAGAGGGTACTTTAAAAAAATTTTTTTACTACTTTATTTATCTTAATGGTTTAGAAATAAAGTCTTCATCTAGACTAAGGTCATGACAACCAATCTGCTAATAATAAATAACAAAAATGATTAATACCATAGTTCTCAACCTTTATACCATGCTCCAGTTTCTTACAAAGGCAACAAAGTCCTATTAGTAACACTCTTCATTAGAAGCAAGCACTCTCCCTCCACCACCTGCACCCGACCCGGGCCCTCCCTATACACCTAACCCATGACTGGGTATATACTAGTAATACTTGCTATTCTCTCTCTCTCTTTTTTTAAGGTTTTATTTATTTATCTGAGAAAGAGCAGAGAGAAAGAGAGAGAGCACATGAGCAGTGGGGAAGCACAGAAGGAGAGGGAGAAGCAGACTCCCTGCTGAGCCAGGAGCCCGATGTGGGACTGGATCCTAGCACCCTGAGATCATGACCAGAGCTGAAGGCAGAGGCTTAACTGACTGAGCCACCCAGGCGCCCCCTTGCTATTTTCTAAGACTATGTAAAATCTTTGGCTGAAGCTTTAATTCTGTGAATGGTTGAATCACTACTATAGTATGGTGGGAAAGGGTCAAAATGCAACAAACTAAATTTCTACCAACATAAACATTTGTCACCAGTAAAGAAGCCCATTGCTGCTCTTATCCTGGTATCTTATTTCAGCACTTTTGAACCAAGAAAAATTAAATCTTGTAGGAATTTTAATTTTTTCCAAGACTCACTCTATCAAATGAAGGAAAAACAGAGAAAAGATAATGCAAACAGAAAGGGGAAAGAAATACAGTTGTTAAATGAATTAGCTGGCAGGACGCTAGAGTCCTTTATCCAAGAACTCTGAACAGAAATTTACAAAATTAGAAAGTCTGGGTTATTACACACTGTAGGTATGGAAATCGTATACCAAAAAAAGCTTACTTTGAAATAAAGTTAAATTCAATAAAGCCCTGCTTTCTATTAATCAAAGTGAAAGAGCTAAAATCCATTAATGAGGAGAAAGAACAGGAAATCCTTTATTAATTCAGTGGGAAATACCTATTGGTAGTCAAGGAACTGTTTTAGGTTTTCTCCCCCTCTTGACTCAATGATGCTAAAGATTTCATGGAAGTAATTTGTGAAAAGCACATGGCCCAGTGTGTAATTTCAAAACCTAGGTGTTATAGTATGATGAATTAATCACTCACTCTCTTTAATTTTTTAAAACATCTTTCTCAAGATTGTTGGAAAGTAGCTAATGTCAACAATTTAATCAGGCTGGAGAAGCAATCTGTAAGGCTATGGAAGTGTGTGTGTGCGTGCGCGCGTGCGCACGTGTGTGTGAGAGAGCTACCATGACCCATGAAATCCAACATCTTACAAAGAAACCGAAGATGCCGCTATCAAAAGAGATACAGGAACATATTTATTCAAAAGAGGCCACCAAATTTCTAAACATTTTCTTTTTATAGAGAACACTTGATTCTGACATTTGGTTATTTTTTTAGCAGCAAATTTTATTTTTATTATTATTATTATTATTATTATTATTATTTGAGATAGAGTGAGGGAGTTCACACGTGCATACAGGAGTGGAAAGGGGAAGGAAGAGAGGAAGAGAGAGAATCCTAAGCAGGCTCCACACCCAGGGCTGAGCCCCATGCAGGGCTGGATCTCACGCCCCCGAGATCATGACCTGAGCTGAAATCAAGAGTTGGACACTTAACTGACTGAGCCACCCAGGTACCTCACAAACATTATTTTTTTTACAATATAATAACAGGTGGAGTATGTTTAGTGATACGATGAAATAATTCTATGAGATGTGTTCTCAGCATTCAGAGACACACTAAAAAACCCAAGTCATTTCCTCCTTGTCCCACACATAGGACACCGTACCGTGTAAGGCAGCCAGGAAGACTGCTGTGTTTCACCTCTGAGCAGAAATAACTAGAGATATGATTTCAGGGTTTTCTGTGCAGGAGGAGAGAATGAAGCAACTAGTTGAAATGCCAAGGGCAAAAAGAGTGGGTGCTCTCACCCCACTGCCAACTCAAAAGCTAGAAGCCAATCCCTGTCATGTTTGTCCTAATGAATGGGGGAAGAGTGGGGGGGTTTGTGCATCTGTATGTACATATTTGGAGTTGTAGACTGATAAACCACTGAGGGGCAGAAGAGAGGTCAAGGTAATAACAGCAGTTAGAGAAAGTTAAGATTTGTGAATCTCCACAATTAATATCCCCAAAAACACAGGATTTCTAATGACACGGTAGGAAAAGCATAGGCTGATGTAACAGAAATACCTTATTCAAGTTTGGTGGAAAATCACATCCCTCAGAAAGTCTCAGAAACAACCATTGGCTAGGAATAATTTATTTTGTTCTAGAAAGAAGAAATATTTCTCCCCCCTATTACACTACTAATGTAATATGCATGTGGAAGCTGGACAGGTAAAACAAACTGGTGACACAGGAAACTTTTATACCCACAAGGCTACCACAGTAGAATGATGATGGTAACACTTTGGAAAAACATGAGAGCAAATGAATGAAAAGTCCCTTGTTTAACTGACTGACCCACTCTTATTGCTTATCCATTGTTCAGTTTCTTACTTTTAACATACTACTATTTATTTGAAGGGCTTCATGTACTTTATCTTTAATTCTCACAATAATACTGCAAAGGAGGTATTATTCATCCTATATTACAGATAAGAATCCTACGCAGCAGAGATGCTGAGCTCTATACCATTGAAGGTGCAGAGCCAGATCTGACCCATTACTGCCTCTGTGACTCCTAATGGGCTTGGGACATAAGTTCTGGTACCTATTACCTAGCAAAGCCAACACTTATTCAGGGAAACAAGGATACTTAGGAAGTGTTATGGGCTGAACTGTGTCCCCCCGCCCCCAAAAGGCATACCTTTCTGAAGCCTTAATCCCTGGTACTTCAGAACGTGACTATATTTGGAGTTGGAGCCTTTAAAGAGGCTGATTAAGTTAAAATGAGACCACTAGAGTGGGCCCTAATCCAGTCTGCCTGGTGTCCTTAGAACAAGAAGAAATCTGGAAGCACAGAGACACCAGGGGTGTGTGCCCATTGAAAGACCATTTGAGGACATAACAAGAGGGCAGCCATCTACAAGCCAGGAAAAGTCCTCAGAATGAAACCACTCTGATGGTGGACTTCCAGCCTCTGGAACTGTGGGAAAATAAACTTCTGATTTAAGCCACCCAGTCGTGGTATTTTGTTATGGTAGCCCTAGGAAATGAATATAGGAAGAGAGAAGAAATCACCGCATGCGGTAACACACATACACTGCCAAAGGAACAGCAGCTCATCTGTTGTTCAAAACCGGACCGAGTTGTTGCAGATTTTGGCCTTGTTAATGAAACAGGAGAGTTCCATCCCTGGAGGCACCGAAGGATCATGGCCCTGCCTGCCAGGCACACCCCTTCCAGGATATTCCCCCTCCTACCACCCTATCTACCTCTTCTCTCTCACACACAGAAACATGGCTGAAATGTCCCCACAACGCCAACACACACAACCTAACAAGCAAGGTACATGATAAATTAAAAGCCTTTCAAGGCATGGCCCAGTGTTGTTACCTCAGATCTTGCTAGAATAACATGACATTTATAAAAATACAACCCACTGGATATTTGGCACAACTTGGGAATGAAGAATATATCCACTAAAGAGCCAATACCCCGGGCTGTCAAAAAAATCTCAAGCCAAGATTTCTTTCATAAACATTACCTATCTTTTAAAATTCTACATTCTAGGAAGTAAAGAAAATGCTTATTTTCTAAGTCTCTTTTTGCCTCAATGTAAAAACCATAAGCCGTACATAAGAAGATATTAACTGCTTAGTCACGGCACACCGGTGGAACAGCTCTGTGCGTCTGGCAAAAAGCCGCAACGCTTCCAGCCATGGCCCTGGGTCACCCTCGCCCCCGACACACACCTACGCAGATCTCCCACTCTAACACCAGCCACCTCCAATCCTGATGCACACTGAAAGGATGTATTTACAGATTATTTTTTCAGATACCAGCCAAATAATGTCCCCGTTCACTCTCTCACCCACCTTGGACCATACAAAATTTAACATCTGGGAGGAGAAATGCAGCCTCAAATGCATATGATAAGGGCGAGCAGTCATCGACGAATTCTCCTCAAGCAAAGAGGGTTTGCCAGCTTCGCCCTGAGGTCCGGGCCCTAAACGGCCAACTGTGGTATGTTTGAGTTTCCATCAGGCCTGGTGCTTGCTGGCCGCTGCTGTGTTCAGTCAGAACCCCACGGCCCAACTGTCCTATAAACATCGCACCCTTCTGCTAAGGGCTGCTCTGCTCGCCTAGCCTTGCTCCTTGGAGCCAAGGATACGCTGGAGCCTGAATGTTAACTAACACTTGGAGCACAGCTGACCCCTCTCTTCTCCAGGGCAGCGACGGCTCGGAAAAAATACGCACGTTCACATGAACCTAACAAGAACAGGAAGAAAAGTCCAGATTTTCCTCACCATGTGCCACCCAGCCATGTTTACACTGATCGCAAGTCCTCAGGTTAATCTTCCCTGGCTGAAAACATTCACACGTGCAGTTTACCAGTGTGCAACGGATGGCCTGAAAAATAAAGGAGGGAAAAAAAAGGATCAGCGTCTGTTCAAAGGTACTGTGTTTCTTCACCATTTTAATAAATAACATCCACTTCCATTTTTAAAGGCTTTATGTTGGTAGGGGCCTGGAGAGTTTTAAAAATAAATTTGGATCAAAATCTTTTACAAAAAAATGTAAGAAAACAAAGCTCATTCACTAACAATGTTTTGTGTCATTCATATTTCACCTTTAAATTAGGAACGTAGACCAAGCAGAACAAGAATAAAGGATTACATATTCTACAAGATGCTTGATTTGTTAACGCTAGGGATCCCAAACAGAAAAAAATATTGCTGCTACTATATATTCCCATTTAAGTTTATCCACCTGGCAATAACACAGAAAAATACATTCTAATACAATAATGCTCAGGTGAAATGTTGGTGAAAGTAAAACATGACATACAGATATTATTATTAGAATATTACTTTTCTTCTGATGATTTCACTTAAATTGCTTTGCTAATCTAACAGATACACCCTGAAAGACACTCCTGTCAGCCCAATAAAATCTAGCATAGTTCTGGTATTATTTATCTACTTCCCAATGCCTTGTTTTTTCCCTTTTGACTTATTAATTTCATTTTCATTCCTATTTTGAAAAATACAAAACAACTTTCCTTTTACTTTATTTATTTATTTTTTTTAAAGTGTGCTCCATGCCCAGTGTGGAGCCCAAAGTGGGGCTTGAACTCACAACCTTGAGATCAAGACCTGAACTGAAATCAAGAGTCGGAGGAGGCTTAACCAACTGAGCCACCCAGGCGCCCTCTTTCCTTTTACTTTAGTGGTGATGTAAGAAAATAAGTTTAAATTTGTTTTCAGATTAGAATAGGAAAAGCCATTTGTGTAAACATCTTATATCTATAACAATCCAACTCTTAGAAAACTGGAAAACACATTAAAAAAATCTTTCATTTCTTTACAGGTACTTTAAAAAATCATCTCACCAGTTTATATTATAAAGTGAATCCATAGAAAATTAGCATAAATGAAGTGTAACTTTTTATGGATAAAAACCTATGCTTAAAACTTGCTAAAGCTGACCTAGGCTCCTAGACTACAGTTAATAAATTTATCTCATACATTTAGTTCTAATTTGCATGGAAATTCTGAAGACAGAAGGGATTTAGTCTGATCATTCACAGATTAACAATCTACTGTAACTACCTGAACTGCCAGGAAAAGATCTCTCTACAACTTTAGATGCAATCAATGCTTACTGATTTGGGGTGGTGGGGGGCAAGGGGGTTTTTGGAGGAGAGGCATGGAACTACCTGAAATTGCAGGTCTATAACTGAAAGCTATGCTCCCTTACACAGCTTCCAGATGCTCATATTCCTGGAACCATTTGGATTTTTATATAAACTGTCTCACTTTTAACTGACAGTATTTTAGATATTGTTAACCCAGTTGGGCCAAGTTCTATTTACAGAGAATAAGACTGGACGGGGTTTTTATTGTTCCCTATGCTTTGGATCAGGTAACTTTGAAGTATTTCTCTTTTCACTAACAAACATTAAATCTATAGGTCCCAGTTCGGTTTGCAATGAGAGTCCTCACTATAGACTCCTTTCTTAGTTCACCTCCACCACTAATTTGCTGCTCCATTACCACTAGGGAAACATGCAATTGTATAATCTGCCTGATATTTCAGGGTCTGTCTTCCAATGTCAACAGTCTAATTACATATTAGCTAGATTGTAAAACTTTGCCTGTATGCATTGGTGACTGGAAGAATGAGTTATAAGAATAGGGATACCAAAGGAAGTAAATGCTGAGTAAGCAAGAATAATATATGCATTTGTAGGTTACAGGGGGAAATATTTCTCCCGAAATTTCTTATTTCCACTTCAATAGTTTACTGACCGAGCAATATATCAGAACATAACAGGTAAGAAACACCTTATTTAAATATCATGTTCATTAGTTAATGAACTCACAATTTGATTGTAATATGGTTAAAAAACCCAAGCCCAAACAAAACAGTTTAGAGGGCAGTGTTTCTACTAAAAACAAGGTACTTTACAAATTATCTAATTCAGATACGGCAACCACATTGACATTAAAATATTCATGTAATCTGAACTGCAATAATACAAGCTTTTATAACTCCCTCCCTCAAAAAAATCACCTCTGCTTTACCAAAATTTAAAAATTCCCAATAAAAAGAGATGATTTCTCAAGGACTATATGTTAACTTCAACACAAGAGACATACATATTTTCAGTCATTAATTTGATAACATTCAGTTGTTTTACAAAAATAGCCTAATTTTACATCATGTTTAAAGCATACTTTTCTCAATTTTAATTATAGCTATATTCAGGACAGAACAAATTAAGAGACTGTAGACTTGCTTTATTTTTATGTATAATTATTTATTCACTAGTTGACTCATTCATTTACTCTTAACTACTCTATGATTTAAATATTTTCTCTACCTAAATAACTTTATACATCTGGCACATTTGGGAATTAAACTTTTCAGACCATCATCCTTTTTTATGAATTCTACTCTTTTTGTACCTAAACACACAAACATTGGAACACCTCAACTCCTTTTGTATATAAACACTTAAACACTGGAATATCCATTTTGAATTTCTATGAATTCCAGAAGGTCTATTTGTTTTAAATTCAGATTTTTATAGACTACAATTGTTCCTTAAGGGAATTATATATATTTAAACAATATGGTCTAAATAAATATTTTGAGTAAGAGACTATTGTGGCTTCAAAGGAAGTTTTATTCTAAATAACATTTTTGAAACAGCATAAAACTCTGACATACTATTTATTCACAACAAAACAGAACCAATGTGATCACTTGCCAACTCACCCACACTTAAAGAAAATAAATTATCATAAAATTATCAAAGGCAGTTAAGCCTCAAAAATGTACATGCTTTACAAGGAGACAGCTGGGAAGAGTAGAAATGGATAAACTTTCATTTTTTGTAAGCACACTTACTTCTTCCTTCACTCAGCTAACATATAAGTTCCTCTTACTCACTGCTGGGCACTCTCAACTACAGAAAATCCAGAGATGATGAGGAAGTGGCAGAAAGAGGATACCAGGAAAAAAGCAGACAGTTTAGTCAGACTGTTCCCCCCTGTATTTGCAGGGATCCTCAGGCAGGTCTAGCTGTCTCATATTATCAGCCCCTGTGCCTCTTCAAGAGCGCTCGGTAATTCTTTCCTCAATTCTGACATGATCAGCATTGCCAAATCCTCCAGAACAATAACAATAATGAATTTTTTTAAATCTGCAACTTATTAAAAGTAATTATTCCTTCTGCTTACCTTTACCATGGATTTCTTGAAAGAAAAATCCATGCACCCAACACCCACTGCTTTTAACTTCTGCACCACCACCTACATTTTAATTTTGCAATCTGGATTCTGTCCCACACGTTTCTGAAACTTTCTCCAAACGGAATGTTCTCATTAATTTTGGTCCCTTTTTCTAGTCTCCTGGTCTTCCCAGACCTCGATGCAGCTTACGGCACTCTCTCCTTCATTCCTGGGCTGTAGAGACCAACTATCCTAGTTTTTCTGGCAGCAACGTCTCACTCTCTCTCCACTGTAAATAAATACAGGTGTTTCCCACGCCAGGCTCTCATTTTTTAATTTGGCAATTTTATCCCCTCCTACAGCTTCAAATATTATCACTACGCAAAACCATCATTTTGGAGCCAAGTACTGTGTTAAGTGGCTGGAAACGGATGGCAGAGTCCCTGTGCTCAGGGACCTGACAGAGTTTGTGGGCAGTGGGTGTAGAGAAACGACCCTAAAAGAACAGAAGGAAGCCCTCAAATGGGCAAGAGAAGTACCATCTCTCCTTTTTTATTCCTCTGTCTTTTCTTCTTCCAAAGGTAGGATTTTAAAATTTATAGCAGTAACCTATTACCCATTATCATTAATAATCGCTAGATTTACTGGATATTTGCCATTTTCCACTCATTGTGTTAAATATTTTATAAATATTAGCTCTCTTAATCGTCAGAAAATACCATGAGGTTAGTACTATTATTACCTTTATTTCGCAAATGAGGAAAATGAGGTGGAGATAATTCAGTACCCTGCCTAAAGACATTGAACTAATAAAGTCATAGGAATCAAACCCAAGTCTGTGTAAACTCTCCATCAGGCTGACTGAGAATTTCAGTTGTAATCCCATTTACAGTCAGACAGTCGTGAGGCAGAGCCCCTCAACCTGCCCACCATTAAACCCCCGTTGTACGTGGTTAACTAATGCCCATCTTCCACATTTCAACTCCAATATTACTGCCATGCCCCAGGGCAGTTGTCTTCATCTCCTGGTCAAGTTCCCCATTAGTTTCCTGTTTCACAAGGGGTCTTTCTGTCATAGCACATATCATGGATGTGAAGATTTATCTGTAACTTATCTTTATTTATTATTATATATAAATGTATTTATACATCTGTGTGGTTATTTGACTAATGTCTGTCTTCCCCTCTAGAATTTAAGCTTCATGAGGGCAGGGCAACACATTTGTGGTGCTTACAGTGTATACTGGCAAATAATAGGTACTCAAAAGGCACTTGAAGAAGTACATGATCCTCTGAGCCTCTTTCCTCATTACTAACAGTAGCAGTAATGTCACAAGAGAGTCAAAGGCTTAAATGAAATAATGACTATAAAGGACATAGCACTGTGCCAAATAATGGGAAAAGCTCAATAAATGGAAACCATTTATGAGCCAAGAAACTTTCCACATATTATATTTGAATATTTTCCCCTTATGAGTCTTCCCAATGTACTATTTTCCTAACACTTTATAAAACGTTTAATACATATTTAGTCGTAATGAAAAAATGAACACTTTGACATACATGATGCCATATTAGGTATACTATAATACTCTAAGATAGATATGACAGGGATTAGTATTTGTTTTTAATATTAGGATTTGGAAATGTTTATATGGATATTACATGGCT